AAACTTTTATGCACAAATACACGGTTAAAAAAAATTTTAAAATAGTCGTTAGTGTAGCTATGGTTGAGATCACAAGCCAATTATTTGTATTAGGTCCTAAAATTTAATGAAAAGGTCAATAAAACTAATATTTCTTTGCAGATAGGTAAGAGTAAATCATGTAATACCTCATAAAGAATTCATACTAGCAGTGACACCACTCGTCAGTATTTTATTATTTTTAACAATACACTTCCCAGCATTTTTCATTTTTTTTAAGCGAAGTTTTGGCAACATGTAATGATATACAATTTTTAGCAACAAATAAATTTCACTAATACTTTACAACACTACATTTTGTTACAAACTTTTGCTTATTTTCTACTAAAAAGACTATTTTAATAACTTCAAGGGTAAACTGTCTTTGTACCAAGTAATATTAGGTATTGATATTCCATTGATCTCACAGAATAAAATTACAGTACTTATAGCATCCTTCTGTGTCACGATTTATGTGTATCGTTCATATCGGTATCTGTAACCATGGATTTTTTGTCTATGAGTAGACTCATAAACAAAATGAGTTTCTTAAAACTACATTTAAAACATTTAGTTGCAAATGTCAAAGATGATAATAACGGTTGCGTTAACAACAGGGTATTTCATTATAATCAAGAAGTAGAAATTGAGATATTTTGGAATTATTTAAGAGAAATATGTTTCTTATGAAATTATTAATATTACGAGTCGTGATTGACTTGCACGAGCGGCTGGAGTTAACGGAAACGAATGCCAGTTGAGCACACGAGTGCGTAGCACGAGTGTGATCGCACGGCACGAGTTACCGTCACCGGCCACGAGTGCGAGCCTATCACACAAGTGCGGGAAATCGTCCCGCACGAGTTGCGTACAAGTTTTTTCGCAATAAGTGTGCGAAAAACATCCATTTTTCGCACACTATTGCGAACAATATTTTATTGATCATCTTAAAGTAACATCCGTTTATTTATTTTTTTTTTTTTTCATGATCACACGAAAGTTTTAATTCATTCACTCGACAAACTTTCGGATGGCGCGTCGGAATCCAACCCCCTATCTTGCTTTTGTCACGTGGATTATTTTGTTAGTAATTTATTATCATTAGAAAAATTTGTAAAAAGTATTTAGAACATTTTAAAACTTTGTGTGTACATGTTATTAATAAAAGTCTTAACCAAATAACGCCTGTACAATTATACTTTTTACTTTGTTGGATACATTGTCTAACAATTTGCAAACGTATTTTACATATAAAATCGCTAACAACGTTACCAGTTTCAACCCTAAATATTTTTTTAACTCAAAACAAATAAATTCAAGACACTCTATCATTAATCAGTACCACTTCATAGTTTTTGGGTGACAAAAAAAATTCATGTATGTTTGTATATACTTCATCAATGTATCATTAGGTGTAGTAAAAACAGTTAAGTAACAATAAAATATGAAATAAATACCAAAAATTCGATAAAAAAAATAGTAGCACTGAAAGCCCATAAAAATGGGCACGATGTAGTGTGCGCGAGCTTAATCGTACTTCACGCGAGGGGCGTATAGTTCATAATATAATCCTCCATGTGGTCGAATTTGTCGCTGTGCTGTCGCCGCATGTGTCGTATCCAATGAGTTTTACGTTTGCAACGCTGTGAACAGAAGAAGCACTTGAACTGTGGTTCGATGTGGCACTCCCACTTTGCATGTCTCTGAAGCGAGTCCTTTCGAGCGTAAGAGCGACCACAGCGAACGCAGCAAAAATGCCCGGAAATCCGTCGACGATGATACTTTTTGCTGCCCAAACCATCGATCGACTCTGCGAAAAAACAAAAAAATGGTGTTCAATGATGGTCGAGACGCAAGAGTAGATGGTTGCGTGATAATCGAATAGCAACTAACGAGATACTTTTGAAAACTGAATTTTTTTTTGTCTCAATCGTTTGTGAATTCCAAAATAGTTATCGCAGTGCAAAGAAAGTTTCAATTACTCGATACTTTACTGATTTCTGGATAGTGGGATTTGTGAAGTTAGTCAGAAAAAAAATTATTTTTACCATGACACGCAAAAATATGGTATGGATGAGAAAAAAGTGTTACAGCATTCCACAAGAATTTTACTGTCTGATGCGTGAGTATCTGGATTAGGAGTCATAATGTACTAGTGCCTTTATTTGGAAATTAAAAAAAAAAAAAAATTATAATTATTTGATACTGATCAGGCTTTGACTTGTAGATTACACTTACTTTTCACGTTTCTTCTTCGTCAGGAGGTGTCCATCACAATTATTTTATTCGTCTTTGATCTTATGTAATAATAATGACATTTGAAAGTNATTTATATTTGTTCTACGATAGTAAAACGCCCGTGGGAGTTGAAAAATAGAAAAATCCACACGAGCCAATCATCCTTTCGCTCTCGATTTGACTGGATGTTTTTGCCTCTCAAGTGGGGGTGAGGTACTCGATCAATGTTTTGTTTCGTTGCGAAGGGTGCGGTGATTCAAAAAGAGCCTAGAAAAAAATAAAAAATAACTTGATGTAGGTATCTTGAAAATTTTTCTGGGGCATAAAATCTCTAGATTTTTTTTCCTCAAAACTTGTGTGTGTAAATATGTTAAAACAGCATAAAACTGATGCTGTCACGCGCACTCAACTATCGAATAACCTCGCCAAAATAGCGAATTAAAAAAGAAAAAAAAAAAAAAAAAACGTAAGCCGAGCCTCCTAGACCATCTCCTGTTTGTAGAGTTTCTCCTTGTGCATGCGCTCCATGTGCCTCGCAATGTGCATCTTCTGCTTGGCTCGATAAACGCAGTGCGGACACTGGAACTGGGGCTCCTTGCCGCACTCCCACTTTTGGTGGTTCCTCAGGCTGCTCTTGAGCTTGTAGACGCGGTTGCACGCCGAGCAACTGAAACCCTCGGGACTGGCGCCGCCATCGGTGCCACCTGTGCCCCCGCTGGAGGACAAGCCTTTGCTCAGACTGGCGCCTGAGCGCCACATAATCGAAGGCACGGTCCAGCGCTGCCAGGCGGCCCACTTCATCCCCGTGATGCTCAGATCCTCGGCTGGAACAACAATTTCCAGGTTTTATTTATCAATAATCTTTTTTCATTTGCTCGAGGGTGGGGTGGGGGTATGAGACGGGTATTGGTTACATGTTTTGTTTTTGCATTACATCCTTTTTTTTTTCATACTGTGACTAAAGATTAATTATCTTTGCACTCGCACAAAAAGAAAGAGTTTTTAGTAGTATTTTTTTTTTCCGCTTACTCGGATATTAAAGATTAAATTTTTACAGATTCACTTGAGTACCAGCTAGATCAGAATAAAAGATGATTGTTCGATAATAGTCAGTCATAATTCACGGAAAGTCTAAAGAAAAATATAATACACGGTCTTGGTTCCTCAGACCATGTGTTTGGTAAAAAAAAAAATCGTATNTCCTCATGGTGCTCTTCCACCTGTAGCCCTTTCCGCAAAACCTGCACCTAAACTTGCGCTGCTGCTCGTGCGACACACCCATGTAAACGACACTTGCTACTGTGAAAGTCTTTTTTATCAATTATTACCTTTGGACAGTACGTTTTTTTTTTTTTTTTTCTGATAATAATAATCGTTTAACAACAAACTGATATTTAGTCGAATATTTTGTTTTGGATTAGAAATAAAAGGTGGAATTGCAATTATGTAGGTATTTTTTTTGTGTTTCTAACACTTGTAACTTGATGTTTATTTAATCATAATATAACATTTATTCGATACATTAGAATCTCTTTACAAAAAAAAGTCAACTTTGCTACTCTTTCGCGCTTATGTTTCAAAAATTGTAAAGATACAATGATGTATGAAACAGTTGAATAAAAATAAATTGCGTCGGTTTGGTAACTGAAAAATAATCAAAATTATGTACAAAAAAACGTTATGGTGTTAACAATAAAAATATGAATGTGTGACAAATCTATCACTATTTGGCATTATTGACTCGCTGCAACGTAAAAAAATTTTGAAACGCTTGAATAAACTAAACTTTTCTTCCATAACAACAGAATATTATTTGAACTTCCATACTACGTAACGTGAAATATAAACGAACTATCATCTACTTCACAGCAATTATCTCACTTGTCAACTCATTGAATCAACATTTTATTTTTTTTTATTTATTTATTTATTTTTTTTTTTTTTCATGATCACACGAAAGTTTTAATTCATTCACTCGACAAACTTTCGGATGGCGCGTCGGAATCCAACCCCCTATCTTGCTTTTGTCACATGAGGTGGTGCATCGGCCACATATCCTCGAAATTATGCTGGTCCGACGTCTGCTGACCGACCAGATGGACCTTGAGGTGCCTCTGGAGGCTGTGCTTGTGCTTGAAGCGCGAGTTGCACATCACGCAAACAAAGGTCGCTTCTTTCCCGCATTCTAGCTTTTTATGCCGCTGGAGGGTTATCAACCGGCGATAGATCCGGTGGCACGTGTCGCACGGGTAGTAACGCTGAGAATCGTCCGCGGAGCCGGGGTACAATTTATCTGGAAACAAAGAGAAGGTACATTTGTCAGTGGGCGAATTTCGATCGGCATGGACATTTCGTCCCCTAGTTTTCCTTTAATTTTGTGTCTTTGTATTTACGTGTCAAATAAAATTTAAGCAACAAGTGTGTTAGTCTTATGATCCTTTGTTACAATTTTTATGGGTTGGACTTTAATTTGTTGTTTGAAAAAAGAAAGTTAGCGCATCGAGAAAACGTTGAATAAAACGAAATTAGTAATTTTAGTTTACGTATGTAATGGAACATAAACTTTGGCGAATTTCACAATGACATCTTACCTCCTTGATTTATATGAAGTATCTGAAAAAATAATCACACTCATCGATAATTATATCAGTTATAAAAGTTCTGGTGGAAATAAAATAGGTAGTGGATGAAAATAAATAAAAAAATTAAATTAAAAACCCGCAACATTTTATTTATCCAAAAATTGGTGAAAAAAATGATTACAAAAACAATACGTTGTAAAACTATTCTAATAACTGTCAAGGATCTTGGATATAAAAAAGATCTCTTGGTACAATCATACATCGCGTTTCTTCCAATGTGCGAATGTTTCTCACAGTTACTGTCAGAAGTGAATCTGACCAATTTTCAAGAATTGCGCAACCTAAGGATTGTACAGTTAAATACCTAATTAAATATTTTTTTTACCCATCAGATATTTAAAAAAAAAAAAAATTGTAGAGAGTCGTCGTTAATACGGTAGTGTTGATTAAAGGTAACAAGTAAAGCTAAACCAAACAAACGAGGCTGAATTCAGATCGTTTGGTAAAAAGTCAAGTCAATATAGAGTATCCTTAGGTTTGAATACTGATATTAAAAATACTGAGGCAACGTTTCTTTGCTATGAGTATACTTTCATTGCCTTGTACGCTATTAATACTATTGTGCGATTGTTTTGGTGTACTTTCGATTGTCTTATTATTTGATACTGATCAGGCTTTGACTTGTAGATTACACTTACTTTTCACGTTTCTTCTTCGTCAGGAGGTGTCCATCACAATTATTTTATTCGTCTTTGATCTTATGTAATAATAATGACATTTGAAAGTGCTGTCAGGGTTTAAATGTAATTAATATAATCATACAAGTTATGAGTAAAAAACAAAATGAATTTTTTTATTTCATGTTGCAATAAACTGTTCATATAATGTTGAATAGGTATTAGTATTAATTGTTCAAACTCTTCAAAAATAAATTTATAGCTGTAGCATTATATTACTTAGATTTAAGTCTTGATCACTTGCCTGATTATGTACATATATAGAGCAAACAAATACATAATTTATAATTTACTTAAAAGTTACATTTTACATTTATATTTTAATAAATCAATTCCAAGGATATTAAACATCATACATTTTTTATACGCTTGTCACAATTATTTTCGAGATTTAAAACACAATTAAAAATTATCACCACAAGCTTAAAGTATAAGCAAATTTGTCAATTCTAACTAGAATTTATTCAAATTTTATTTTAGAAAAGTCTTCAATTTTATATTGGCGTTAGTCGTTTTAGAGTAATTTTGTAATTTTATCATCTTCTTTTGCCTTTCATCACAGTAGACCTAAGAAAAAAGTTATCGTTAATTGAATTTTTATATTAATATATTAATCAATGGCTTACATTTTCAATCCTGTGAACATACTTTTTTACTCGATAATTGCAATTGGCTTTTTCAATATAAAAGTGCTGTTTGTTAGAAAACATTTGCTTCTCACAAAAGCTTTGCAATTTCAAAGANACAAAAATATCTTGACCCAAGCCGTGTCTTCGTAAATACAAGTTTATAAGAAATAAACCCTACGTTATGATTGATATCATATGATATGATTGATTAATTAAAAAAATATTGCTCTATTATAAAAAATACACACGTATATTTCCATTGTATAAAAAATAACTGTATTAATCATAGCAGATCCAGTACTCCTCGAAAAGTGATGGTAGTAGAAAAAAATAGTTTTTATTTTCATTTTAATAAGTATCGCTACAAGGAAAATCTAGAATCTCGATGTGTATAATTCAAAGAAACGCCAAAAATATTTTCTTCCTCGAAGCAACAATACCCAAATAAACTTTTATTTCTTGTTTACCAGAACCAGAAATAATTATCAAGTACCTAGCCACTAAGCTAAAGCCGCACTTTGTGCCAGAGCCTTCAAATAAGTACATCCGAAGAAAGGGAGTTGACAAAAAAAAAAAAAAAAAAAAAAAAAAATGCTCAAGCACTGTCGTCAAATATGCCGATGCCCATCTTCTGATGGTGTCGCTTGAAGTGCACCGTGAGATTACCCCTCTGTCTGGCCTTGTAGGGGCACTGGGGGCACTGAAACGAGGGTTGTTTCCCGCACTCGACCTTCTCGTGCCTCCTCATGGTGCTCTTCCACCTGTAGCCCTTTCCGCAAAACCTGCACCTAAACTTGCGCTGCTGCTCGTGCGACACACCCATGTAAACGACACTGAGGTCGGCACGGGGTCGCGGAAGTACCTCGAACGAGTCCGGAAAAACGACCTCCCGGGACGACCTCTCATTTTCGTTGTTGTTGTTGCCGCTACTGTTGCTGGCATTGTCGAGGCTGTGGCCACGGGGCGAATTGTAAGCCGAGCGGTGCTCACTGCTGCGAGCGGTCGAACGGCCGCGCGCCTGCTTGGCGTCCATGGTTCGCTTGTAGTCCGAGCGAAGCAGAGACAACAGAGTTCCCATGCCTGCAACAACCGCGCACCCCGTGAGGGGCCATGTGAATAAGCTTCCTCGCCCGGAGATCTGAGACCTGGCTCTTTGTCCGTCTTTGTTTCGTTTTTTTTTACTTTTTTTTTTTTTTTTTTTTTTTAGGTTTTTAGTACGAGTGAATTTTGGACTGTTCTGGGATGAACCGTCACGAGGTTTTCAGGAGGTGTAGGTACCAGTTGCCCATTATTATTGTATGTTATAGCGTACCCACAACCAAGTCAACACGCGTGTCTCAGCCAACAGCTTTTGAAGACAGAGCACCCAGGACCGAAGAGTTTTTAGAAAGATAGTAACAAAACCATGGGAAACAAGAAGAAATCATAACTCTTCGAAATTAAAATGATTTCCAGTGATCTCTTCTTGTTTTTTTTTTTTTTTTTTTTTTTTTTGCCACTACACCACAAGTTCTTCAGCTGTTGAAGTGATAGTGAATTCTGGTCTAGAGGAAAGTGCTGCATAAGAAGGTATCGTACAATGAGACATTTGGTATTTCAACGTAATCGACAAGTATCAATTTTATGGGAAATGAACACTTTATTTCGTACAGAATACCTATGATATCATGAAAATCGTGTTTTCAAAAGTCAATAGTGTACAAGAAAATACTATTGTAATAGTTGTAAGAATTCCATGAAAATTTTCAAATAATTCACATTTAAATATAATTTTAATCACATTTTCAACCGAAAGCCGGAAAATAAAATACACAAGTTAACAAAGTTCGGTGAAAAATTCAATAGCTATAAATTGTTCTAAAAATAATTATCAATTTCATAATATTGCAACATTATTTAAATAAAGTATTTTTTTTTGCTTATTGGTTTTTACAATATTCTTTTCTCTTAATTTATATAGCCCAAATGAAGATTAATAACAGATAACCTTATGTTTGCTGAGAACATGCGTCTTCAGATTGTCTTTTCTCTGGGACTTATAAGTGCAGTAAGGGCAACCAAATTTTGGAATTTTCCCGCACTGGCGTAAATGACGTAGTAACGAAGATCTGATGTTGTATGTTTTATAACACATTTTACATACAAAAGCTCCAATCGTGGAAGAATAGTAACCTAAAATGTTAAAAGAGATGCCAGTATCAGAATTCTGTTAATAAAAATATGCACTAGAAATTATTTATTGTGATATTAAACAAAAAAATTATTGTTCTAAATGATTTAAGTATGATGAAATCTAAATGTATTGAATCATCAGGTATGGCGTTTTACTTTTTTTTATTAACAACTTTTTTGAATGTAACTGCATGCATATTAAATTTGTTTGATATTGGATTATTAAATGATGTAGACAATGCAAAATATGAATTTTAATACATGTTTTTAGAAAGATAGATAAAAGTACATCATTAAAAAGATGAATGTGGGGCACAGATGGGTTTACATTACCTTACTATAAATTATATGATTAGTAGGTAAAAAAAATTAATACAAAACTAGAACAACTCATAACTTTAAGGTATTGAGTATCTTACATTTATTCTATTATATTTTTTTCTCGAATTACTTTAATAAAATTTGTACAACGACATTAAAAATCTTGGACATATAGATATTTTACAAGCCAAATAACATTTTGTGTCTAATCTTCAAGGCGATTTCTATGTCATCGGAATTAAGTAGGACTGGCCAACATTCCGGTGAATCTTTGATGTGCCTGATTAACGACTTTCTCCATTTGTATGACTTCGAGCAACCCAGGCAGATGCTTCTCTCTGAAAAAAAAATTAACGGGTGTAACTTCATTTGATTGCTTTTGTGATGAGTAAAATTATTAAAAATGGGTTCAACAGAGTGGAAAGAGTAATTAGTAGTAATAAATTAGTGTACGAATAATTTTTTTAGTGCTCAATAACAAATGTTATATCGTATGGTTATAGTTTTGTATAAAATAGTAGATTTTATTACATAATTATGGCATACGTACAATGACAGCGAAAATGTACGTTTTTCTCCAGTTATACCATAAACTCAAGGAATAACTGGAACGTTTGAAAAAGTATAAAATGATTATTCATTTTTTTTTTTCGTTCTTGGCTGCCCTAAATGTCTCGATTTAATGTGCTGCGTTAAATTGCATTGTAATTTCATTTTTATGGGGCAATAAGGGCATGCTAACGATGGAAGTTTTCCACACTCTTTATTAGTGTGCCTATAAAGAGAACTCTGATGAGCATACGCTTTCCCACACTTGTGACAAATGTAAGTTGTTTTGAAGGACTCTGTAAAAAAAAAAAAAAAAAAACATCAAATTGTAAGATAAAAAAGTTTCAAAGACTTATTTAATTGTATGTATAGAAAACACTGCCAAGCACAGGAAATAAATAGAATAATTCATGTGCTTTGACAACAATAAAAGTAACTATATACGTTGTTCTCGTTAATAATAAGAAACAAGAATCACATAGTGTGAAAAATATTTGGTTAGAGACTGATTGAGACAATTTTCTGTACAAACAAACTATGTAATTATAAGATGCTAGAAAAAAATTAACACTACAGGATATTGGGTATTGTTGCTGTAAATTTACAATCTTTATTACGATATTTCAAAATACATTATTGTACGAATATTATAAATAAAGATGATACGTTGATATGACATTGTTTTAAAACAAAATATGTGCAAAAATCTTTGTTTTAATATTGATCATATCACAAAAGCTAGAAATAAATATTAAGAAGCATACAGATAGTTCAGTCATTACAATGATCACAATATATATTAATTAGAAACTAAAACGATATTTACAAAAGGGTTTTTTTTTTCAAATATATTTTTTCAAATATCGTTTGAAAAATTTATACAAATTAAATTACAACTGACGATTTGGCAAATTATTATCTCCTAAATTTATGTGCTACGGAAAACTGTACGTGTACTTTATGTACATGTATTACACATTAAAGGAAGCTTCCTTTTTTTTTATATTTTTACCAAATAAATTATTTATAATTTTTAAGTTTAAAATGTAAAGTAACTAATACCTAATCAAAAGAAAATTAAACAACAGTCAGAGGTTATGAATTATGTTACTTTTAAAAGTATACCTACTTAAATAAAATTAAAAAATGACACATTTTTATAAATGAATCTTTTATTTTTTCTAGCACTATATTTAGGAAAATTCGTTTTTGCACGGGGTTTAAACGAAGTGGATTTAAAATTTTGCTTAGCCTGATGATAAGCAAGAATAAAGTCGTCAAATTCAGCTAGAGGGCAGAGTGAATACGTAAACAGTGGTGGTTCGTATTTATGGTTTAAATGGTAACGCCACATTTTTTTTAATTTGTTGCACTTGGCGCACGTGTAACGAAACATGTGCTTACTGTAGCAAGTCTTGCGAACAGCTGAAAACACAGGTAAAAGTGATAAAAAATAATTAACTTAAATTCGTAAATCCTCAAATAATTATTTACTATTTTATGGATGTCAAAAACTAGATTTCTTGGAGTAAAAATTTGAAAGAAAGATGGAAAAAGTATAGTTATTGACGGGTATAAGATTGAATCTTTGAAAAGGCCACTGTCGAATTGGGGCTAATTTAAATGTAACCGTTTAATTAGTGTTGAACTAGGGCTGAGCGATTATTTTCTTCTGTAATCAATGTCGAATTTGGACTGAGCAGTTATTTTTATACTTTATTTGTTTTTCGTTATACTTTACCTAAGCTTCAACTGTCAGTCTCATACAGAAACTGGCATGTTTAAAAATATTTGTTTTCATTTTTGTCATGATAATATTTAATGTAACAACTACTTCATTCGTACACTCGTTTTTTGTCATAATAAATTAACTCGTCATGTATGTATTACACTTCCCTTTGGGAAGTCCATAAATAACTCAGCAGATACGGTGTAAACAAACAAGGCTCCGTAATTATTTACCTCTTTTTCAGTGTTTACTAACTGTTTAAAGTCATTCTTATAAAAAAAAAGATATAAATTTTTAGCTGTTATCAATTATATGTTATTTCATATAAAATAATAAAAATATCGTTAATTTAATGAAAAATTGTAGTTATACATACGAATTTAAGCGATGTACTGGAATAAAAAAATTAATTATAATGATACGAATCGTTGTTTGTCAGTAATTATTGAGATCGACGATGTTTACAAAGGATTATTTACAAGTACTACAATTTTTACCATACAAATGAACAAGGGTTATTTTATTAATGTGTCTCTAATTATTTCAGGAACAGATTTTTAATCTTTCTAAACCACGCGAATTCATTACAATTCTTATTATCACAGAAAATTATGAAAACATAAAAATCAAATAAAAATATAGCGTTTTAAACGTATATTTAATCGACGCACAAGTATGGAGTAATTTTGAAAAAAAAAAATAAAAAAAAAATAATAATAATAATGATAATAATGTATCCAAATACATTGCCATTTATTGTGAATTAAGATACTTGATGATGTTTCTTCATGTGATGATTCATGCACCACTTGTGCGGACTCTGATAAGAGCAGAAATCGCAGCAAAATCGTGGCTTCGAATTGATGCATTCGAATTTGCGATGCCTCCATAGCGACCTGCGAACTGAATACGATTTTCCACAGTCTACACAGACGTGCATACGAATATTTTGTTGCAAAGCCGCCGGGAAGACTTGCTCTGAAGCTTGTGGTAGCCAAATCGTAACTAAAACGAAATACAAGTTTTTGGTTAATGTGAGGCAAAGTTTTTACCAGCACAAGTAAATAGTCAAAGTAATGCTTTTAATGGTTTTTTGAAAACTAGTGTTAAAGAAAAAAAAAAAAAAAAGAAATTAACCAAGTAACAATACTACTCTGACGAGCATGAAACAAAACACTTTGACTTTGATAAACACTGTATCATTTATTCCAAAAATTTAATCAAAGTTGTATTAAACTCGTAGTTGGGTGGAAACAATTTTTTTACAGAAAACAAATGAATGGCAAGCAAAATAATCAAAAACTCTTTACTATATTCTAAATATTTAAATATTCCAATGTTAATGTGTAACAACTAATGGAGTTGAGNATAAATCTTAATTTTAAAAATATTCAATAGGACTGTTAACTATTGTTAACTACACGATTCAACTAATTTTGTAAATAACAATGCATAACTTAATATCATGGTCAATTATAATATACTCACGTTGTTATTCTTATTATGAGCAATTATACTGTAACTTAATGTTAATCTTTCAAAAATATACATTCACGAAAACAGAAAGTATGCTCGTACTAGTAAAAGGCAAAAACAAATACATCTCAGAAATTAAAATTTAGGGAAACAGATAAGATGTAGAATGAACATAGTAGCTGATAGTTTATTGTCGAAAATCGTTTCATCAGTTTTATTTACATACATTAAATTAAATAATAAATGTCAAAGTTAAAGCATCAATTGATGTACAATGCTTGCAAAGTATCATTAAATAAGCGATGCAAAATCTCTTGAATAAACGCTCATGTGAATACTATATCGTCGAATTTATAGTTGCAAATGCATCGTACAAGATCGCACAAGAACCATCATACGTATTTCATTTTTTTTTTTTCAACCTAATCGTAAATCTTACTGTTTCTTTATTTCTAATTGCTGCATACTTATTCTATAATTACTTGCCAAAGTTTCAATAGGAAAAGCTAAATTTAGCAGCAACCTTGCAACAGTTTTGAGCTATACAATTTATTTATCGTGCGTCGACGAAGCACTGGTGCAGTTCTGCCGCTCGTGAAAAGTTTTCACGTGTCTACGAACACACGAAGTGTATTTGCTCCGAAAGTTGCACAAATTACATCGAAATTTAATACTTCCGCGGTCATGGACGTTCCTGACGTGGCGTTCCACATTCGCTTTGTACATTGATTTGTAATTGCAGAGATTACACTGAAAGACTGCTGTGCGAGGATTCATTTTGCATGTGAACTCCATGTGACTCTTAAGAAGAGGTTTTTGTGGAAAAGTGTCGTGACAACGAGGACACGCATAGGGTTGCGTTTTCACTGGCAGAAGATTCTTCCGTTCGGATTCAAGGCTATTTAGGATGCCTAGAATATGCGAGTAATCTGCAACAGAAATTTTCAGTGGGTTAATGGGGGAGCGACATCGAGGCGTCAATAGATCTACTGGTTTGTTCACTACATTCAACTGATCTCTAGGTGTCTTTGATTTTTTGAGAAGCGTTAGTATTGAGCATCATTATCTTCCGGTGCAAGTGCCTATTGCATGTGATATGGGAGAGTTTGCAGATATAGCTGGATAAGTATTTTTTTTTTTTTTTTTGGTATTACTTGTCAACCTTGCAATGCAAGATTTTCGCATTCCGCATGTCAATGACTGATGTACAATCCGCCCATTCAGAGATACAATACATTTTAATTTTTCCTCCTCCAACAATGTCGAGTACAAATGAGTATTGAAGGTGTAGTCAAAAGCAGTATTCAGCACATTAATACGTTTTTGTTCAGACTACCGAAAAAAAAAAAAAAATTACAATTAAATAAATGTGTGCACATAAATAGATATTTTACAATACATTTTTTAGTCTAAGGATAAGTGTCGTATGAACTAATGGAATAATTATAACCTGCGAGTAGTAAGTTACATATGTCATTATTCGTTTTTTATCTACAAACGATCTGGATCTACATACTTTCTGTGGTGTTCGCGCTCGATGTGATATTTGAGAAAAGTTTTTATTCGGCCACGGTAATCGCAAAACGGACACGGGTAAATGGGCTCCATTTGACAAAAAAAGTTCATGTGTTTTTTGAGGTTCATCCAATTGCTAAATTGCTTGCCGCACTTCAAACAACGCAGTTGAGTTTTACACTGTCTTATAGCCTGTGGGGGTAATGTATTGCAGAACAGCAGCACTGAAACACGTAAATCATAAGGATTTTGTTTTTAAAAACTGAATATTGGTGCTGTAGGATATAACGCAAGTCGTAAAAAAAGTATTTATTAGTTTTAACTAAAAACCTAATATTTTTCATTGGGAATGCAATATTAATGTGACTTAATGATACAAAAACATTAAGAAAACAATCAGTTATCACTAGCATACATTTTGTGATTAAAATAATATTAGTCATGAAATCAGCGCATTAACTTACCACTTAGATAAAAATAATGTAACAGTTAATATTTAAAAAGTCAAGCTGTACATAAGGGCATTAAAAATAATGTAATGCTGTATGCATTTTAAAAAATAAAGTGATTTATTATGATTTTACAACGAGATGATGAATGATTTTTTTTTTTTTACAAATTTTGTTGTAGATTCTGAAATTCCGTGATTTACTCAAGCTTAGCGAAACTTTTTTTACTTGAAAAAACTTGATTTTAAAAATTATAAAATATCTATTACGCGGTTTTCCGTATACCTTATGCCAAAGTAACATGCAAAACTGTTTGTAACTTAAAAACCAAATTCAGTAGCCATCATAAATATTTATTAATGCATGATTTTTTTTATCAAGGGTATATTGTCAAGCATACTTTAACGCAATCTTTGATTCAATTATTTTTTAATTGAATATTTCATTAAAAATGTAATTAAAACTTAATTATAGTTAAAAAAAAGATACGTAGATTTAATTGAAAACAATCTGACGGAAGGTATTATTTATATCTTCTGCAAATCTTGAGTGGTGGTCTGTAGACGTTATGAAACTGAAGCAAATGCCGACGAAGACTGACATTTTGAGTAAAACTTCTATGACACAAATCACAGGCAAAATTTTTCCGGCCTCCACATTCGAACTTGAGATGTTTTTTTAGACTGTGCGCCGATTGATATTTGCGACCACATTGTGGACATACATTTAATTCGATGCTTGCTGTAAAATAAAAAAATTTATTCAATTTATTCACAATACTTGACTGAGATTGTTTTTTTTAATTATTGATGCTTTTTAAACAAAATATAAATAGGAAAAGTAGTAAAATCGTAGTTATTTTTTCAATTTTGGGAATATTATAAAATAACAGGTTAGTATCTACAGCTTCGATTAATATCTAATATTGTTAGACGAAAGGTAGTTGCATTAAAAAAAAAAAATTGTTAAACCTATTAACATTTTATTTTTAATTTTTCTTTGATATTGATAACAAATACACTGCATAACGATATAATAAATTCTTTTTCTAAATTTCTGCATTTTTTGGAATTCTTAAATAAATGAGATCGAATCAAAATCAACAACTTATTTGATTAAATTAATTCAGTAATTATATGTAAGACTTTGAAAAATTCGGCATATCGTTGTCTATAAAAAAATTATGCATCAACTAATAGTTGCATTGAATAATTAAATATCAACTTCATCATATAACCATTCGGTACGTTTCATCTTGGATTTCCGGAAGTCAATATTGTGACAGTGGAAAAGATGTCTATGAAGACTGGAATTTTGCGTATACTTATTAGGACATAGATGACAATAGAACTGTCTTTGACCTCCGCATTCGAATCTAACGTGCCTTCGTAGATTTTGTTTGAGCCCGTATTTTTTGTTGCACTTCTGACAAGCAAAGTATCCGTCGTCGGTGATATTAAAACTCAAATGTTGATCAGCTAACGTATCATGGCTGTTGAATTCTGTAAATAAAAAGATAATGGTCCTTATGTTAGAAATACTGCTCTTTTATAATTACTAAGCTGTAACTTCTTTAGTGTTTGTATTTAAACAAAAACAGTTACAAAATTTATTAAAAATTATAGTTCCTACAGGGTTGGTAATTAATAACAACATTTAGGAAAATAAATAAATGTTCCATCAATATATTTTGAGCATGACAGAAATTTATTTTTTCCAAAGCTTATTTTTAATATCATTTTTTTTTTAATCATAACATGATTATTAATCTATTCAGCCTTTTTTCCGCTTCTTTAGAAACGATTGTCATGAACTATCTCTCTGAGATCACAATAATAATAATAATTTACTCTAAGGATTATTTTATTAAAGTCATAGTATGTAACTGAAAGTTAATTTAGTCTGTTTTTTTTGCAGTTTCTGTAAAACTAATGGTCACGTGTGATCTTATAATTGAGTCTCCATTATGAGAACGTCACATTTTCGATTAGCAACAAGATTTTTTTTTTTTTTATCAATAATGCACATCAGGCAAAAATTCTTCTAGGCTTCATGTATTTGGGCGGCTCATAAAAATGATGCTGATGAACCAGATGTCGTCTAAGTCCTATGATCATGGAATATCTGGCTGGACAGTGTGTGCACGCAAAGCGTTTCTGAGATACACAGTCGAACTTTAGGTGTCGGACCAAGCAGTACTTGCTCGGAAATATTCGTCCACAGTTGTGGCACTTGTGCTGTTCAGTAATCTTCTTCGTTACCACGGCATTAATGATTGGTTCCGATCTGCGTTTAACCTCGACTTTTTTTTTCTGCCTTGTGTTATTTATCTGAAACGTCCAGTGCTTTCTGATACGATAGTAATCGCGCAAAGATTGTAGTAATAGTTTGGAATCTGCAAGCAAAAAAATAGAGGGAAACGATTTTTTTTTTTTTTTCCAACACGACATTTACTTTGACAAAGAGTTTTGACGAGACATCACAAGGTTATTGCTTCCATACGAGCACAGTTTTCTGATGACACTTGCAATGAATTGTTAATGATCCATGAAATGAGTTTATTTACACATGAAAGATAAATTAGAAATATGAATACAATTTTCGAGAAAAAAAAAGTAAAAGTATAATGAGTTATATCCATGTATGTTTTTATTGAATTACAAGTTGTTGAAATTCTGTGGTTGCTTTTACTTCTGTTATATCTCAATTAAAATATTTTGTAAAGTTTATCATATTGTGATTTTATGCTCCATTTAAAAGCCATGTCATTGATACAATGGATTTTTATGTTAATATCACATATAATACGTGGTGTCGGCTACAACGCAAGGTTTGACGGTAAAAAAAAAATTTTGATGTGATTTTGATAGTTAAATTAAAAATTTTCATAATAATTAGTATCCAAGTTAAGTAATAACAAACTATAAATAAAGATAATTCAGGAATAATAAAAGAAGCTTTGATTTTTCATGTATATAAAACCTTTTTTAGGTATAAAAACATTTACGAATAATATTTATTTAATTATTTATTATTTTT